GTTTTTGTGAGTTGGTCTATAGGCCATAATTGAAAGCCGAATATCACAACACAACACCTGGTGAAAGGAATCGGGGCAAGTAATTAGAAGAGATGTACTGAATATTATTAATATTTGTTTGCATCTGGTCGATCAAGAGGGTGCAAATATCGGGAAATATTTCCCAATGTCAGAATGTAGTATCACGGAAAGTTATATTTTCGTGGAAGTTGTGTAGGGTATCATATGGTCGGCCCCGTCGACTATACTGCTCCGCTCACTGGTCAATATTTATAAATACAATCTCAGACGAATGGAATGTCCGATGTCCGATCCCCCACCAATTATCAAAATATTCGATATTTATTACTCCAATATCAGGTGAATGGAATTTCCGATTTCCAATAATAAAACCAGTGTGTAACATCGAACACCTCTGCAAACGATAGGCTTCGGGTAAATATCTGTCGTCAACACCGAATGACACTGTTTTACGTTTTTAATTATTGGTAGGAAGGTTTTTATACCCAATCAGAATTCAATCCAAGCCAAGTTACACCTTTTGGTCGGTTATATAGAGGAGGAGCTACATTTTGAGCCGATGTGTAAGAGTTCACATTGCCGTGGTCCGCATTGATTTGCCTTATCTTGTTCGTGTTCGAATTTCTTCGAAGTCTTCTGATAAACAAATTATTGTGTACTACTCTCAATTGACTGTCCTAGTCCAGACAGTCGCATACTTCACCACTTTTGTCGAAAAAAACAGGCAACCATTTGCTTCGAAGTGCTTCTTTCACTAACAACCTTCGTTGGATTGGAACTCACAAGGAAAACTTTCCCACATTGTGACAATATTACTGACCCTGAAAAGAACTCTTAAGGCGAAAAAACTCCCACATTGAATTTTCCACCAGTTTTATAACGTAATTGTCGTATTTTCACTACTAAAACCAATAGAACTACAGGGAAAACTTTGACAGACTGTCGGAGTTTTAATTCCCAACAAAAATAACCTGTCAGAGGGCCACAAAATTGGTCTTAACCAGAGATGGTCTGTCAGAAACAGTGACGTAAATGACATACATTTCCGACGTATAATACACACGTCAGAAACCTACCCAAAACCACGGATAAGACCATCCCTGGTCTTAACCGTCGATCAGACAATCACTTTTGAAAAGGTCGTAATTTTGTCTATTAAAACCGGTGGCGTCCAACGTGGCCTCGTTGAAAAAAATATTGAATCGTTTTCAACAAAAGGGTTTGGAAATTCATTACCTTTATATGGTGGAGGGTAGAAAAATATCCGTCTATACATAACACTGTCCGACATGGTAATGTTTGGTTATAACTATAAATATGATGAGGGGGAGGAGGAGGAGGAGGAGAATTTTGTTGTATGTAAAATTGTAATTAACTTGTAAATTATTTAATCCATATCAAGTTTTTGCTTATTTTTGTTAATTCTTTCTTATTGACCGACTTTTACTGGCCGAATAAAATGCATTCCATAATAACTACTACAATCACTCCTCCTTAATACCATGTTGCTGTTGTTCATTTTGTTATTATGTCAGTACTGTCATCTCGAAAAGAAAGTTCAGCAATTTGTCGGTGTTAATAGCTTTCCATGGAGGTATGTTTTTTTTTTAATTTTTTGTTTTGGTTTTCTTTTTGTATTTGGAATGTTCGCGCTATGGCTTAACAACATCAATCAGTCATTTAGTTACGCCTCTTATCTAGTTCGTTTATCCATTTTGTTGTTCAACATCACTGTTGTGTTGTAGTTTTGTTCATAAATGATTTAATTCAATTTGACATGAAATAATTTCAATTTTTTTTAATTTTATAGAGATTTGAAAAATGATTTAAATACAGATTGATTTATGATATGGGGAATAGAAAGATGTAGATTTCAGTAGTAAACAAATTATTAGTATTTTTCTATAAAAGACTACTAACTTGGCATCGATTTTTATCTGTAAAGAAACCAAGAATATATAGAAGCTCTCCTATATCTAAGAGACCACTTAGGGAGTACTAACAATTTTTTTTTAAAATAATGTTATTTAATTTAAAAAGTTAAGGATATTAAAAAAACGCTAGCTAGGGCGAAGGGCCTTAACGTAAATCGATAACGATATACAGTGAGTATCAACTTGTTATACCCTTCATCACACTGTGGTACATGTTTGTATAATGTTTATGTGCATATGTTTACAACAGGCGAAAGGAAACGAGATATACCCATGGTTCCTTTTGAGAATATGCATAGAATCACTTTCTGAGTCGATTTGTGTCCGTTCGTCCGTCTGTCCATCTGTTGATATTAAATTGTAAACAAATTACAAATTTGGATGAAATTTGTCACAGCTCATTTATTTGGCCCTAGGAAATTGATGCACCAAAGTCCCTATATATCTTTCGATTGCACGAAATTTGGCATAGCGTACTGAATTAGGCCTAGAATGACGTACTTGAAATTTCGTGAAAATCAGTTCAGATTTACATATAGCTGCCATATATATATATATATATATATTCGTCCGATTTAATATAAATGGTGTACCTAAGTCCCTATGTATCTTTTGATTTGCACGAATATATATATATACATATATTATATATATATATATATATATATATATATTATGCCTAGAATGACGTAAATGAAGTTTCGTGAATATCGGATCAGATTTAGATATAGCTCCCATATATATATTTTCGTCCGATTTAAGGGGACCCCCCATTGTCAGTGTCAAAAAACTGTTTGATTTAGTTCAAATCTACACTGATTCAAGAATGTCCCCACAAAATTTCAAGTGAAAATTTCAAGAAATCTTGAAGATATAGCCGATTTATTGTGTCAGCATCAAGCGATGGCAAGAGTGATTCTCAAACTTTCAACGCGTTTCTCTCGAAACTTTTTTTACGAATGGCGGGCACGATAACTCAAAAACTAATAACCCAATCGGTTTCAATTTTTTACACGTTTCTCTAGGAGTGTGTAGCTTTCGTATGAACTAGGATAAAGCCAATCGGTGAAGATGTTCATTATTTTTTTACTTAGTTTGTGGTAAGAAATTGTCGATTTTCAAAACAAAATAAAAAAAAAAACAAAAAATGGAATTTCCGCCATTTGTTAATTGTTGTGCAAATCCTAATTCATACGAGAGCCAGACATGTACTCTTTCTAACACCGTTGGAATTTTCGGATTCCGATGTTCCAGTGAGGAGTTATCCCTTAAGGTAAATGGTCTTTCAATTTGCACGAAATTCGGCATAACTATCTGAATTAGGCCTAGAATGGCGTAAATGAAGTTTCGTGAAAATCGGTTCAGAATTAGATATAGCTCCCATATATATTTTCGTTCGATTTAAGGTAAATGTTGCGCCAAAGTACCTAAATATCTTTCTTTCAATTTCATGTCCATATTCTTTCGAAAAGACGACGTCTGTTAGGAGACTATGTAGAATATACCCAAAGTGGTGAAGGGTATCATATAATCGGCCCAGTCCGACTTTATTACTTTTCTTACTGTTTTTTAAATTATAAAAATGCTATAATAGCATGTTATTCAATGAATTAAATTTTATTATTTTTTATATGTGAATATGAACATCTTATAGTGGACCATGTGTATGAAATTTCCCATAATACAGCTATTTTGACGCCACAGTTATATGAGGCCATCATCCAAGGTACACATGATTTTATTTCGGGGGGTGGGATTGAAGCTGCTGGTTCAATATGGAAATATTCATTGCAGAAAACATTTTGTATGTGTAGTCCCCTTGAGGCTATAACTAAAACGGAATTACCGAAGGTGCTATGCCTTATTGAGGATTGATATAGCTAAATTTCGTATCTAACATTTTGGCATCACAATACCTTCCTTCACACTAAATATTAACAAATACCGAAAATTGGTAGGTATCATTATATAGGCCTAAATGTGGGCCAATATATTTCATTCTCGAACCTTACGTTCTAGTTTTTTATCTCGATATCCTCCAATTCTTATATGAGGAAGAATACCTCGATATCCTCCGATTGATTAAAAAAATGGCTAAATTGGCTAAATCGGATTAGAATTACATACAAAGTGAGATAAAAAAACTGCAACAAAATCAAAAGCCATATTTTTCCATTTTTTTTTTTTAATTTTATTGAATGAAAGCTAAAAATGTCAGAAATAGCACCAAATTTCAGAATAAGTTTAGATTTTTTCGAATTGGTCACCTTTGGCACGAGTTATGGCTTTCAAACGGCCAATGAAACCGTCATACGCTGCCCAAATTTTGTTCTGCGGTATTTTGGCCCATTCCCGGCGAAGCGCATGCTTGAGGTGATCGACACTTTGGTATTTTTTTGGTGTCAACCTTGCTTTACAAAATACTCCAGTCACAATAGTCCAACGGATTGGTATCCGGAGGTTTTTGGTCGCCACTGTGCGCTGTAAATGAAGCGAGGAACCTAATTTTGTAACCATTCTTTGGTGGCGCGAGTTGAATGCGATGGTGCTGAATCCTGGAATGTCCAAGGTCTGCGGCCAAAATGTTAGGTCGTCCAAGGCAGGGTTACCGTTGTGCGACTAAAGTCGCAATTTGCAACCTTTTTGGTGCTCTGTAAGTTTTGTGCTACTTCTCTTTCCTGTTTTTGTTAAGTTATATTTTCCTTTTTATGTGTAAATTCAAACTTGAGGTCCAAGGGTATTTGACATATTCTAGGAACAGTTGTTTTGCGATTTTACTTTTCTGTGCGACTTTATTTCAAGGGAACGACTTCCACACCATCACCATGGCCGTCGCTTGAGTTCTGGGGGCCAGTCGAAGGTGCAGATTTTCAGCTGACCTCTTTGGCAAGTAAAAACGATAATTTTGTTTGTTTACAACCTGCTGGAAAACGAATGTTTTCTCATCGAAAAAAAAAAACAAATTCGGCAGTTCACCACTTTCGGCCAAGAGAAGCAACTCTTTAGCTCTTTTGAGTCTATTTTCAATGGCTTTACCCCGAGCTCATTTTTCAATATTTGCCGAATGGAATATTGCGATATGTTCCGCTCACGAGCCATTTTTCGGCCACTGCGACGCGAGTTTCGATCAAGTCGCTTCTTTACATTTCGAACGATTTCTGCTGATATTGCTGTTTTCTTCCGTCCACTTCCTCGACGTCGGGCTACACTACCAGTATTACGGTAACGAGTGATGGTACGAGACACAAAAGATTAATTCACATTTAAATGCTGGAGTGGAGAAATCACACTATCACGCTTGAATTCAATCACGAATAACTTTTTCTGGAAAATTCTCACCAAAATGCTTTTGCATGCTTGTTAACAATATAATGAGCTGTCACAGGAATAATTTTAATAGCTGTCGGACGAGTGGCTTAGAAATGACTAAAGATGGTATTTACCGGGTAAATACCCAAGGGGTGGGTAAATACCCATTTGCGGGTATTTATTTGGGTATTTACTATATTGAATCGGTAATAAAACATTTTGCACCCTATTTCCGGGTTTCTGTTATCAAATCGATTTAGGATGGAAAGTTTTACGATACTTTAAAGACTTGGGTAAAATTTTGCATACATGTTTTTAATGTCAAAGCAAATATAGAAACCCAAAATGGGGTCCCTGGGTCCAAGTTTTGATATAGCCCCCATACAACCGTATCTCCCGATTTAAGGTATTTTTTGTCTATTAGACACATTTTACAACCAAATTGGCTGTAATTTGGCACAGAGTGTTCTTTTTGGGTACCAAATGTCCATGCAAATATTTATGTATTCAGGTACACGTTTACTGGTAGCCCCCATACAAAGGTACCCCTATTTTGAGTATTTACCCAAAAATAGGGTATAAACTCATTTACTACCGAACCACTAGCCATAGGCGGCCAAAATTTGGCTCAGAGGGTTTTTATACCAATACAAGTAATGGTATGGGAAATGGGGTCCCTGGGTCCATGTTTTGATATAGCCCCCATATATAACCGTACCTCCCAAATTAAGGTATTTTTTAGCATTTAGACACATTTTCCGACCAAAATGACTGTATTTTGGCACAGTCATTTGGGTTCCAAATGTCCATGCAAAAATTTATATATGTAGGTCCAAGTTTACTGGTAGCCCCCATACAAAGGTACCCCTATTTTGAGTATTTACCCAAAAATTGGATATAAACTCATTAAATGCCGAACCACTTGACGTAGGTGGCCAAAATTTTGCATACATGTTTTTAATGTCAAAGCAAATATAGAAATCCAAAAAAAGGGTCCCTAAGTCCAAGATTTGATATAGCCCCCATATAACCGTACCTCCCGATTTAAGGTATTTTTTGGCATTTAGACACATTTTTCGACAAAAATGACTGTATTTTCCAAGTTTACTGGTAGCCCCCATACAAAGCCCCTATTTAAATACCTTAAATCGGGGAGAAACGGTTATATGGGGACTATATCAAAACTTGGACCCAGGGATTTCTATATTTGCTTTGACATTAAAAACATGTATGCAAAATTTTGGGCGCCTATGTCAAGTGGTTCGGCAGTTAATGAGTTTATACCCAAATTTTGGGTAAAAACTCGGGTATATTTAAGTAGTTACCCACGTCTTTAAAGTATCGTAGAACTATCCATTCTAAATCGATTTGATAACAGAAACTCGAAAATAGGGTGTAAGATGTTGTATTACCTATTCAATGTAGTTAATATCCACAAATGAGTATTTACCCAATTTACCGGGTATTTACCCTTTGGGTATTTACCCACTTCCCATCTCTAGAAATGACAGCCGTCTGAAGTTGCAGTTTTTTTATCTCACCCTGTAGTATGGTCGGCCCCTGTTCGAACCCTGGAATCACATTGTCGCGGATTTAACGTTTCTCTCTTATAAATTGATCGATGGGCTTCATTATTTCAACGTTTGCGGAATTTTTATCATTTTTTTCCTTTTTACATGGGAAATTTTTATTATTTTTTTTCCATACAAAACAATTTAATTTTTTGCAAAAATAATTTCACCTATAAACTGTATAAAGTAACGTTTATTAATGCTGGTCATTTAAGTGTTTTAATGTTATAACCATTGTTGTTGTTATTGTTGTACAACAACAATTAAAGTGTAATTCATAAATTTCTCCAACATAATCTCCAACTCAACTGCAACAAAAACAACAAATGTACATACGTATCCACTGATCTTTTGTTATTAATATTACCTTCAATTGCTACAACAACAACAACAATAAATTAGGTATTAACTTTGAAAATTTTCACTGTTTAATTTCACAACAAACATTTGAAAAATTATTCGTTTGCTTGGTTGGCTGGCTACCTTTATCAGTGGCGATGGTCCATTTTAGGTATTCATATATGTATGTGTGTTGTTATTAATGGAGTTTTCACTTGAGGTCGATTTTTCAGAAAAGAAATTTGGAACATAAATATACCAATACTCTGAAAGCTTCCATTACGACTCAAGAAATCTCTATTATATTAGAAATAACTTAAAACGTCATATCGATTATAACGATGATATCCAAAAGTCCCGCCAAAAGTTCTGTTCTTTATTTGATATCGTTTATAACAACTATTGTTTATAGCGACCAATTTCGCCGATCCCTTGGTCGTCGTTTTAAGCAATCTCTACTGTATTTCTATAATACCATTCATTCAATGAAACCTTTCTCTCTATTGCTTGGCTTGGTGATTGTACTGTAGTTGTTCTATTTAAAACACACAAACCAGACACACATACACATTCATATGTTAATTTCATGCGGCCACAAAAATCTCCATATGATGGACCAAATCAATCATTTAAATATTGATGGCTCCCCATTAAAAAATATGTTTTGTGTGTGCGGTGTGGTTTGTAAATCTTGTCTTTTTATTTATTTTTTTTTTCTCATAGTTGATGATTCATCAAACTTTCAAATAATTATTGAATTCTATGTTTTGTTTATTGTTGTGTTTTTAATTTGTTATTTATGGAGCTTCTCCAATACTAGAGGGCTACACTGTTTCGAGTTTTGATTTGATTGGGGTTTATTTGTTCTTTTCCTCATATTATTTCTCTTAGATTATCAATGATGGTATAAAAAGTAGTATCTTGCTCATATTTTTCTTCCTTAAGAAAATTAAAGATTATTAAAGCGTTCACAGTACTGTTATAGTGAAGATCTTCATGGAATGGAGCTGTTGACTTATAATCGGTCGAGAGTGTGCAAATATGTGCATCATCGTAATATTTGTTTTAGACCCATGTTTCGTTGGACCAAATCCGTTTCAGAAAATTTGGAGTCGATTTACACATGTCCGTACATGCAGACCACACTTACGCAAAATTCTTCGAATTGTTTCTGGGTTACATTTCCTTTCCAGATATTTCTCTGTGATTTCAGCAAGTGCACTTAGCTTCGGATTATCGGAGCAACCGCTGGTTTTTGGCTTGTTGCTAATTCGATTCTCGGTTTTGTGCCTCAATATAATTTTTTTTGGACAGCAAATGGAGTAATACTGAGTATTTCCGATATTTTATCTTTTGGTTTAACCCAAATCAAGCCCGAAGTTAGGACCCATTGGTCCACTTCTTCTAGTATCTCCTCACCAACCAGTCAACATTTTGAACATATGGAAGTCTCGTGAAGCGGGCGTAATGTTCAATTTAATAAACATTGTGTGCAACGAAATATTTTTAACAAGCTTAGATCAAGTCCGGTGATGAAATCTATCAGTCCACTTATTGTGGCACCTCCACAATGTAGGGATCCATCGCTCCAATCTTTCTTGTAGCTCCCCTACATGAAGAGAAGGGATTGTCCGATTTTTATTCAAACAAGCCTAGATTTAGTGCGAAGCTGGGACTTATTGGTGCACTCCTTCTCCTACCCAACAAAATGTCTACATTATGATCCATCGTTATATTTTTACCAAACTTAATCCGGCCCAATCCATTTAATCCCGGTATTGCTACATTGAAACCGTTGTGAGTAAACTGAGGCAACCATTAAGTCGTTCAAGAACCTTGAAAAGAGGAACGATGGGATCTCAGTCACATTTAACGACGATGGTGTGATGGATCCAAAGAGATAAACCAGTTTTTTTAACCAACAGTTTGTCGGGAATCCCGAAGGTGTCAGAGCGAAGCGAAGAGTACTAATGTTGAAACAGGTGGATAAGCCGCGAGTCGTGTTTCTCTATATAATCCTTAATTTGCCATCCAAATCGTTCCCAAAATCTAGCCTTGGGAAAGGGTGGTCGTTACCGTACTGAAACCAATACGGATTCCAGCAAAGGTGAAACGTACAGAACGATCTTACTTTTGTCGCCGCTAGCGGACTCTCTTCAGGCAGTACTCCTCCACAGCATTAGGGGAAGCTATCCAGTTGCGCGTCATCAGCATGGGTTACGTAAGCAACACAGTAGAACAACAGCTTTACACGCCATCTTCAGTTCGAGGACTAAAACCGAATAGATCGTACCATAGAGCAGTGTTGGTAGCGCTTGTCCTCTCATGGTCAAATTCAAACCTTAGTTATCTGCGTTAAATTTAAAAGTACAAAAAAGGTCCTCAAGTCGCCTGCCGGTGATAGAGTAGACCGCGTATATAAGTGCTACGCAATCCAGAACCTTTCAGAACGACCTGAGAACTGCAGCAGAATGCCTGCTCATCACACCTGGTGGACCATCAAAATGAGGAGACGAATATCCTTCCCTTCCGTTAGTGTAGCATTCGTTGCAGTAGCTTCTTGGGTTCTTCAGGTGCGTCAGAAAGGATCTGCGTATCAGGAAGTATCTACATGACCTAGAGAGAGAAGAAACTTAAAGAGTATGTCTGAATAGCATTCTCATTGATGCAGTTGATGACGTTTAAAAATAATAGTGTGTGAAACCGTCACCCACACCTATCGCAACTGAAGTACCTCCAGAGTAGTTTTCAATTCCCAATGAGGTTCTTAATATTCACATTTTACTGTATACATATTTACATATTTACGTTTGTATGTATTTATATGTTATTCGGTTTTATTTTTCCATCTTTCCCGCTACAATGTTAAAAGTTAGGCATCAACCACTACTTCTTTTCGAGTCATCATCATCATCAGTTGATGTAGAAGTTCCACTGAAAAACATCAGTTGTCAGTTTAACGAACTTTTACTTCCATTCTATTCTGACGCTGATGAAAATGAGCTAAGATTAACATGTATAGATCATACACTCGAGAAAAAGATGATAGTTGATAATTTACTCTTTTCATTTGGAGATATTTTATTTGCCAAGGGTCTTAACCGACCATATGTATAAAAAATATTGGCATAATTCTCCTAGATTTAAAATGCATAGTGGTCACTTTGGAGGCCTATAATAATTCATTAAGAATGTTACTTCTTGAGAATCTCTTCAAAGTATTTTGTTTTTTCATTTGGTAGTATATTTAGAAGATTTACTATTTTAGACGCCCTTCACGAGGTCTTTATTATATATTTATAGAATACTTTTTGGATAAAGTCTTATTATATGTCATAGATGAGATACTATGTAAAAAATATAAACTCTGCAAAGTCATTATGAGGTCGTCTGCCTATCCACAATTTTCCATCTTCTACCTATGGAAGGCTTTCCGAAAGTATGTATAATAGATTTTTTATTTACGGAAGACCTTCGAAATGAAGATCTACAATATGAGGCTTCTAACAGAAGGTTTGAGGTTTCTAACAGGACTTTTATTTGTAAAAACTCCAGAAGCTTTTATATCTTTAGAGGGTCTTCAGAAATTCAAACTATATTCTGTCTATACTCGTTGTTGGGCAACCATATTAAGACCTGTCGAAATGCCGCACTGAGAACTCCAAAAAGGCGCCTGCTTATAATTCTATTGTATATTTTTTTATCATATCATAACTGTCCATCGGAACAAACAAATACTTTCGATACAATACAGGCATGGGTGTTATCATCGAGAACACCCCTGCCCTAGCCTTACGGGCAGGTGTGCATCACCCAAGTTACACGTTAGGAGCGATCTTCATGATCTAAAGAGAGAGGTGGAAAGGTACAAGTGTGAACCTCTAGATCAACAAACCTATCAGGCAGGTCTGAATTGTATTCATACAGATGTAAACGTCCTGACAGTAGAACAATACCGTATGAATTCTATACTAAAGAAGACCATCCAACATCCACAGCAGCTGTCTAGACAAACACGAGTAGTATTAACACGGCTAAGCTCAGGATGGCGCAACCTGTCTTCGAATATCGTAAAAACCACACAGGATGCAAAATTTCTGAATTTGGATGCAGAGAGCCGCAGAGAATATGTAATCAATTTTCAACCTCTCGAATATTATCCGTCTATTTCATCTATTAATGGTCGTTCAAAAGGCCTTTCATCATTAGAGGGCGTTTCAGGCAGGTCTGAATTGAATTCATACAGATGTAAACGTCCTGACAGTAGAACAATGCCGTATGAATTCTATACTAAAGAAGACCATCCAACACCCACAGCAGCAAAAGAGAAGCTTTCTAGACAAACAAATTGTTCATATAACATCTGCAAGCCGAATGAAACCAAATATCTAAACGCTTCTCATAGGTTTTTGAAAAGATAAATGCTATCTAACTGTCTTTTTTTCTCCTGTGATGTCCCTTGGGAGCACCGAACTTCCACAAAGTATCGCCATTTTACTCGATTAGTCCTTATTCTAGTTAAGTATAACATTAGATCGACTACTTCGTTCCTAGAAAAAACGCCCTCTTGAATTTTGTGCATTGTTCGGTGTCCTGGTTTATTTTTTTAGTGTTACCATATTCCTCGGGGTGGCGTT